TGAGGCGGGCACGGCCACCAGCTACATCCTCTCGAGGAGCCAAGTGTACATCTTTGATAACACCACGGCCTGGGTGGAGGCACGATGGGGGAACCAGGTCCGCAGGACCCCCAACCACACCCTGCACCTCAACGGGGCTGGTGAGTGCCCCAGGGGCAGGGCTGGCAGCCAGTGCTGGCACTGAAAACTGCCAAAACCACCCAAAACCGCCTCATCTTTCCAGTCAAACTGGATCCACTCACTGGGATGTCCTTCTCCGAGAGCAGTGGCCAGCTGAGGGTGAGGGTGCCACAGCCACAGTGTGACAGCCTGAAGCAGCCACCACAGCACGAGGCTCGCTTCTGGAGGGTGGGAGACAGCGGCTGGACACAGGTAAAATGCTGTTTGCTGGGGCTGGCAGTGGCTGACAGCACAGCTAGGAGCATCACGGCAGCACGGGGAGTGTGGGGGCTCAGTGATGTCACTGTGCCCCCCCAAACCCAGTTGTGTCCCATCTGTTTCCCTGGGTTTCAGCTCTGCCTGGCCATGGGATCCTGCTGCTGCCCATAACAGGATTCTCAGGGATTACACAGGCAAAACCCCAGATTATAGTAATGACGACAATGGATCAAATCCAGATGCTTGTCCCCATGAAGCTGTCATAGCTGGGACCCCTCATCCCTCTCAGCTGCTGCCAGGAGGGTCCCAGGATTGAGGAGACCCTGTCCCCTGCACTGTTTGGCTCTCCCAGCCCCTGGGGTGTTTGGGGATCACAGGGCAGCACTGATGCCCCAGTAAAGTACTGGTTTTACTGGGAAAGTGTCCCCATGCCTGGTTCTCTCTGCAGGTGACATGTGAGACAGTGCTGGTGACAACTAAAGAAAACTCAGGTTGGTTTATCCTGTGGGGTTGTTGGGGACAAACATCTCCTGGGGGTGTTACCAGCAGCCTGTGAAGGCCAAAAGTTGGGGAAAGGAGGGTTCAGCTGACCCTGCCACCCCTCTCCAGTGACCTGTGCCCTGGGGGTCAATGGCACCTTCGTGGTCCAGCTCCGGCACAAGCCTCCCCACTGGAGCAGCCCCTGGAGCGACTGGAGCAGCAACATCTCTGAGGGTGAGGAGGAGGAGAGGAGCCTGGTGGGATCCCAGCAGCTCCCAGAAATGCTGGTGGCTCAGTGAGGCCTGTTCCTCCTGCAGCAATCCTGAGGAGGCCGGTGCTGAGCCATCAGCTGGGCAAGCTGGGCACAGACGGGCAGCGGGCGCTGAGGCTGAGCTGGCAGGTACAGCAGCATCTCTGGGGGCTCTCCTGGGTGTCCCCCACCATTTCACCCCCTGAGTCCCCCCTTTTCCTCCCCAGCCAGTCCTCATGGAGCACAAGGACGTCACCTACAAGCTGGACATCACCATGGTGGGGTGTGGCTGTGCAGAGTCCATTGAGGAGGGCTCAGTGAAGCTGGGCAGGGAGGTGACAGAGCACAACCTCACCCTCTCCGGGGCCGAGTACCAGATCCTGCTGAGCGCCAGCAACGCCGCGGGGCACGGGCCAGCACGGCAGCTCCGTGTGCCGGCAGGGCAGAGTGCAGGTACAGCGATGCTGAGCTCCCCCGGCTGCCCTCAGGGCACTGTTTGTTCTTAACTGAAATAAACAGGGCAGGAGGCTTTTGCTCCTTTTTAATGCCTCTATTAGAAGTGATCAGCTTTAGGTTGGGAGGCTCAACAGGTCCACATCTTGTCCATCATCGCTCCCAGAAGTGGTTCGGAGGAGAAATGTGCAGCTTTGTCCACTAAAGAGCAGAGCTGGGGGTCGCATCCTCACAAGAACAGTGGGGATCAACCCCATGTTAAAACTTTTTAGTTTTGTAGTCTCGGCGTCTTGGTTCCAGCTGAGGTCTTGGCTCAGGATGAGGGGCAACAAAGGGTCTCAGCACCTCTGCAGGCTCGGTACTTTGTTCCTCACTTCCAGACATCACTCTGATCTCTTAATTCTGTGTTGGCTCTTTGTTTTTGGGGTATTTTCGGTAAGTTTGGTGCGGTGGCTTCCCATGGCATGCTGGTCTCGAGGTAATTTTGCATGCCCTCTGATCCCCCCTCCATATCCCCTTCTCTCACTGTTTGGAAAGGCCATCAACTTAGCTTTAGGCAGGGTTATACTGAAACAAAAGGAGCAATTAATGAAAATGACCGGTGATTACAACAATAAACAGGTAGAACTCCACCTTGGCAG